CCCAACCTTCTGGGTAGTAACCCAACCGCTGCGACAAAACATCCCAATTGCTGGGTTTGTCCCTATTTTACCCAGCACTGGGTTGTATTTAACCCAGCATTTTTTAGAGTGTATAATATACCATAAAATATACTGTTAGCACAATAATACAGGTGTTATTAAAGGAACATACAATTACATACTGTATATCATCAAATGTAATGTGTCATGCAGGGACTTGTAACAATATCTCACTGTAAAAGTACACACTGCTGGGGGGAAAAAAGCTGGTTTGCTGGTCTCTGACTGGTTGTAAAAGAGGTTTCAACACAAGACTACCAAACCATTCGTGGGTTGGTTTAGATGTGTTTTGTTTGTTTGTGTTTTGTTTTTCCCAGCAGAGTACTGTCTTCTTGAATATAAAATGGACTTTCACTGTAAAGTTTTCTACCAATAAAGAATTGAAACAGTTTCTTAACCGTAAAACTATATTGTCCCATTAAACTTTTTTTTCTACTGTAAGGTAACAGATTTTTTACTGTAGCATTTCTTAGGTTCTTTTTTGTTAAAATTAGTAACATTTTTACAGATAGCATCAGGTATTTTTAAGGTTAAAGGAAGCTGAAAGGCTTACTTTAGTCTATTTATACGGCGTTTCACTTTCGCTCTGCTACCTCTCTGTGTTCAGGGGAGTTTGCTGTGGTTTCCTCGCCGGCGAGTGACACGTTGACTCAAAAAGATAAAACAAACAACAACAATAAAAGCTACGGATGCTTTTCATTTCTGAGCGATGTGAATAGCATGAGAAATTACTCTTCTGAGCATTTTAATTATTTCAGTTCACATTATTATCCTCCTCCTTCCTTCTTCAACACACTACATAGGCTACAATGAAAGTAATGGTGGTTGTCCCGAGAACAAAATGTTTTCACTTGTAAACGGTGCTTGATCTGTGCATATTTCTCTCTTTATTCAGACGAAACAACTTTTATGGATAGAGGATTAGTTTGAAGTTAAAATACTTTAAAAATGGATTTTCACTTCACAAGATGTTAACTGATGGACTGGAGTCGTGTGGATTACTTGTGATGTTTTGATCAGCTGTTTGATCTCTCATTCTGACGGCACCCATTCACTGCAGAGGATCCATTGGTGAGCAAATGACGTAATGCTAAATTTCTCCAAATCTGTTCCGATGAAAAAACAAACTCATCTACATCTTGGATGGCCTGAGGGTGAGTAAATTTTCAGCAATTTTTAATTTTTGCATCTAAGACTCACCCAGAACAGGAAGTTGAAAACGAAGAGGAGGTACTTGAGACACACTGTGATCCAGTCGTCCTGCTCATCCTTATACAAGCTGCCCATCTCTCCTGTTGGTGAAAAGAGAGAAAAAAGAAGTGCTACAGAAAAGAAGTTCTCATGAAGCGGTGGTTGTTCACTCTTTGCGTATTTACGAGGCAAAATGGGAAAAGGACAAAGAAGAGGAGGTGGGCAGGAGCGTAAACAGGCTTTTGGAAAGATGGCAGTCAAACACTGTTCCAACAGGCGGAGGAGAAGGTTATCTTTCTTTCCTCCCCCGGACTTTGGCCTTATAGTTTACCGCAAAACGCATCAAGGTTTCTCAGTTGCGTTGATCCTGCGACACTTTCCGAGCTCATGAACGTAAGCAAAATAAAACTGCGTGGTGTGATGCACACTTTATTTTTTCTAGAACCACCTGCTCTTATGTCGCGTTTGGGACAAACACCAATGTCCCTTTCCATCGCACAAAGAGAAAACATAGCGTGTTTACACTTACCTTAACAGCAGATAAAGTTCGTTTTCCCCAGTGAGGCTTGTTGCTCCGGAGGCGTGTGTCTAGTCGGCGGGGGTATCGGAGAGTCAGCGCAGGATGTGAGGAGGAAACGCAACTACAGCCCGCCCCTTCATTCATTTCATGAGATTAAATACAGCAAGCTGTTCATCTTCAAAGGCTGCTCGTGGACTAATAACTGTTAGTAGTGCTTTTAAGTAAGTTGCTTTGTCCCATTCTCTGAAAAAAGAAAATCTATTCTTTTCTCTCCTGGGGTTGAATTTGTAAAATTCATGTGAATGTGAATTTGTTGAATAATAAATTCATATTTTCAAAATGAATTTATTAAAATTGCTTACAATCAGCATAAATAAATATAGATAAATTTTCATTGTGAAAAATTTGAACATGGCTAAAATATGGCTAGCTGTGGAACAAGCAAAATAAATTGTAGTATGAATTATTAGTAATTAATTAAAATAGGGATTACCATATAAAATGGAGAAAATGTATATTATATTTTATATCTTATATTTATTATTATATTTTATTCATATTATATTTTAACCATGTCATATTATATGAGTCAAAATCATATTATAATTCATGGGGAAATGGGCATTCCCTATGCAAACAAACACATTTGTTGCAAACATGTTTCTTATTTTAGTAATCATTTACATATTTTTTTAATGTTGCATATGTGTTATTTTTTTATGTTTATAACATTATTTTCATTATGCTAGTTTTGAGAAAGTACAGATTTGTCATAAAGGTACTTTTAATTATTTAAAGTACCTACATCTGTCAATGTCCCCAAAATGAAAGCAAGGACAAAGCAGGGACAAAGTAAATTATGATTCCCAATGGACTTCAATAATTCACATTCACAGAATCTTTCACATTATGGAAATAATCCTGACAGTTTCTCAGTTTGATCTCTCATTCTGACGGCACCCATTCACTGCAGAGGATCCATTGGTGAGCAAATGACGTAATGCTAAATTTCTCCAAATCTGTTCCGATGAAAAAACAAACTCATCTACATCTTGGATGGCCTGAGGGTGAGTAAATTTTCAGCAATTTTTAATTTTTGCATCTAAGACTCACCCAGAACAGGAAGTTGAAAACGAAGAGGAGGTACTTGAGACACACTGTGATCCAGTCGTCCTGCTCATCCTTATACAAGCTGCCCATCTCTCCTGTTGGTGAAAAGAGAGAAAAAAGAAGTGCTACAGAAAAGAAGTTCTCATGAAGCGGTGGTTGTTCACTCTTTGCGTATTTACGAGGCAAAATGGGAAAAGGACAAAGAAGAGGAGGTGGGCAGGAGCGTAAACAGGCTTTTGGAAAGATGGCAGTCAAACACTGTTCTTTTCCATGACATGTTAATTAACAGCTGTGGCCCATGGGTTTCTGCCACAGACAGACGACACGCTCACGTCTCAGTGCCTAGTGTGGAGGCGGTGCATGTCAAAACAGCCGCCATGTATGGCCGATAAAATGAGGGTGTTTGGCTTGTAATGGTTGAAAACACAACAAAACTACACACACTCCAACCCACACTGCTGGTTTTAAAAACCTTGAGAACAACACATGTAGCTCCAGATTAGAAAGGTGACACGTTCTGCTCCAAAACACAAAATTAGACTGCAGACTTTGGTTTATATATAAAAAAAATCTCTGCTATAATGGATTTTATAGTCTGGATTTTCACTGTAAGTCCTATTGATTTCTTTTGGATACTGAGGCATAAAGAATTTGTTCAGAATAACTGCGGGGACATATTGATTTGCTGATCACGTGTTATAAATGTATGGAGAAAGCCCTCGCCGTGTGTCAGTAGTAATCACTTAGAGTGCTTTTTCTAAAGGGTTATCTACCTGTATTCCCGGTAACCTAATAAAGTCAAAACCCCATTAGGAGAACATAGGCAGCGGATATAAGCCGCAGTCACCTGTCTGTGACACAGTTTTCCAAATTATGGAAATAATCCTGACAGTTTCTCAATGCACGCAGCTTGACTTTCTGTTGACTCTCCATTTGATCTCAAACACCAGCCTCAGTTGTTCTCTCTGCCCTTTTGTGCACAGAAGTTCCTCTGTGTGCCTTTCTCTTTCAAACCTCAATCCCGGTAACCTAATAAAGTCAAAACCCCATTAGGAGAACATAGGCAGCCATAGGCAGCGGATATAAGCCGCAGTCACCTGTCTGTGACACAGTTTTCCATCTGAAACAGCATTAGAGAGGAAAATGTTATCCATCATGTCTGAATTCATGGAAAGAGTCTACTGAGAGAGCGAAGAAACCACTTAAAGTGCGAAATGTCATTGCTAATCTGTATTCTGGCTCTGTTAGGGCTCCTAATGGAAATGAACACAAACAAAAGCGCATTGAATTTGAGATTAGAGTTCTGCATCTTCTATCTGTTTTTTCCAGATAAAACGTCTGTTGATCGACAATAGACTGCAACGTTTTAATTCTGGGAATCAAATCTGAGTCAAATCAGCTGGAAATCCAGGTACAAGCGGTGACATGAGGGACAACAAACATACAAACATCGGAAGATGGCAAGAAAGGATGACATTAACAATGCAGCAGATGACAGAGAACTTTGAAAAAGAGCTCAGCCTATTCAACTGATGTTTATC